TTTACAAGTTCTAATCAATAATCATAAGTTTATAAGCAAAGATAGAAAACAGTTTTATAAAATAATGTATGTTATCATCAAAAAATATCTGAAACTACTTGTTAATTTGTTCCGCACTATTGGTATATATATATATATATATATATCCAACCTTATTCTTATATATATTAAAGATGACCAACTCAATGAATAGTGAACTTATGTACTTTTTGGCAAGAATAGCCCATAGATGGATGTGTTGTTTCCGTTTTTTTCTTTTGTATCTGGGTATTTTATGAAAATATTTACATCTTTTATACAGTGTTGATCATCGTTTGGGTTTATCTGCTTCTGGATCCTTCCCAGCGTCCTTATCCAATATCTTCCCATTCCAGCTCCATCCCCTTATGTGGTTTGCATTTGTTGTAGCGCCACCGTGAAATGAAGACAAATTATTGGTCAAGATGGGATTAGAGCGACGATGAAGATGATCGTCGATCAGTTTCCGACTTAGGTTTCGTCAGCTTGACTGCGACAAGCAAAGCGTTCGTCGGCTTGACTGCGACAAGCAAAGCGGCTTAGCAGCCCCGACCAGAACCATTAGACCCGGACTTACAACGAATTATCGAAGGTGTTTTGATGTCGATTTCGTCATAAGGTGGTCTGATGCCGACGGTTTTAAAGTCGATTTCATTCTAAGGTGTCTTCATTTGTCCGCCGGAACGAACAGGTAAATCCCACCGACCTCACTGCATCATCTTTTCGTTTGTAGACCCCTCATACTTCAGATGGTTCGTCATGTTACTGTTCTCGATTTTAGGGATAATCAATTTCGCCATTTTTAACGCAACATGCACATAAATTATGCAAGGATTGATCGAGAGAGCAGCTCCAGCTTCGGAAAATGAGTTATAGAGTTATTATTCTTCATGTTTATCTCTTAAATTGATTTCTCCAAATTAAACCTAATCTCAATTTTTATTTTTACCTGTTATCGCTTGAACAAACTACGGTGTTTTCTTTTCTAGATTGCAATTTTGTATAGTAGAGTTATGGAATGCTGACATGTGATTGTCTATTCCTTTGTCTTCGTTGCAGTTCCATCAGTTTCAGGTTGTAAGCAGTGTATGAAGCTTTCGGCTACCAACGAAGTCCGTGCTAAGAGCAACTTCTGGTACACATCGATAATCTGATGTCACCTTTTTTTTCTTTCGATCCAATGAATTACATGTTATGCACACATACTTTTGTATTTTGATTGTTTGTTACATGGATCGATAATCATTGTATGGTGTTGGAAATCAGGTACTTCCTCAGGAAACTAAAGAAAGTGAAGAAGATTAATGGTCAGATGCTTGCCCTTAATGAGGTAATACTAATACTCTATTTTTTTATTGGTTTTGTGCTGAAATCATATACTTCATTACATAATATTTGTTGTACATGTACAACCCATCGAATAATAAGAACTATGGTATCTGGTTGAGGTATCAATCGACAACTGGATACCATAACATGTACAAGGAATACAGGGACACAACCCTTAATGGGGGAGTTGAGCAGATGTACACCGAGATGGCTTCTTGCCACAGGGTGTGTCATCATTGCATTCAGGTGATCAAGACAGCTACCATTCCTCTTAAGCTTTTCAGGAGAGAATACAAATGCCACAAAATAAGGTAGAAGGAGTTCTCAATGATGTTAGAGAGCTCTTTGTTCCAACCTTAACTGTTACTCTTAACATATCTTTTTGCTATTTAACTGCATCAAACTCTATTATAACCGCATGTTTATATAGAATTCAACTGAAACATATTTTTGTGCTATTTAGTTGAAGATATGTCCATGTTACATATAAGATAACTGTTACTCTTAACAGCACTCTGGAATGTTTCAAGGCATCATGAACCTCTCATAAGTCAGTCGGTTGGATGAAGCACTGAATGGGAACTTAATATGGCTTCACCAAGTGATGTTTGGCTTTATTGTATTAGGGAAAGCCTATCTGCAGGAATTGCGCTACCTGATTGGGCAGTTGATGTAAGTCATTAACAATCATGATATGCTTGCAGACATTTTATACATTAGATGTATTTTTCTTATGATATTAAATGTGTAGCTTTGTAGGGAACTCCAAAAATAGAGCCTAATAGTCATCTGCAACATGTCGTTAAGGTTATCATTTCTTTTTTCATATTGGAGAACTTTTTTCTTTATTTATGATCTAATGGTGTTTTCAAATGCTTTTGTTTTTTGAAGAATAAAACTCGAGAGCAAATTGAGATAAATAGAGAACCTGCCCGAGTAACTTTATTACAAATCTTGAATTTGTTTAACTTAATAATTAGAAATTACTATAGAGTAGTAAAATAAGTAGTTGCTGCTATGTGGATGTAACTTTTTCATTCTTTTTTAAAAAATTAAATATATTCCTATTATTATGTATTCTACTTACTTTTAATTAATATGAGTCATTGTAAGGAGATGAAATTGTCTACATACAAGGTTGGTTTACCGTTTGTCGTCATGGATTTGGTATTTTGAATATATTTATATTTTTTTTTTCAAATGGCATGTTCCAAAATGTCTTTTTTTATTCTTTTTTTGAAATTTGGCAAATTCTATTGCAGACTTCATGGGAGGAAGTTCGTTTCAATGATTAATATATGGGACACAAGACAAAGTGGCTTAAAGAAGACATGGATTGCATTTTGCTTTTTTGGAAATAAAAGGTATCAAAATTGTAACAAATGCGTACCAAATTTTTTAATAAAGTTTCCTAAGTTTATTAATTATAATGTTATTATGTGATTTCAGGTTATAGATTTTTTGCTCTCAATTCAAGATAAGGTGACTGTGGTTGAGGCTGATCCTGGTTTGAAAGGCGACACATCTCAAGGTATTCATCATATTTATAAAAGAGTAAATTTCCAGAAATACCCTTGTCTGGTAGATAAAAAAGGGGACATTTTTTTGTAATAGAAACAATAACAAATGTGGTTTTCGGTTGAAATTTTCTCTCAAAAGTGCAAGTTTTTTATTTTATTACTAATCAATATGTTGGCATGGTAATTTGCAAAATTAATGACTTTGAAGAAACACTCGAAGAAAAACCTTTATATTTGATGAATTGTTGTGCAACCTTAATGTTAATAAATACATAAAAATTTTATATGAATCTTTATTTATAAATTTTTCTAATGTGAATTGTAGTTTTCAATTTCAAGAAGGAAACCAAATTTCACTCGGACATACGGATCCCAAAGATTAGAGGTGCAAACATGTATGCTCGGGTTTTGGTTGTCTCTCTTTTTTTAAGATTTACTTTCAAATAGTTCCTGTGACTTTGAATGATTTTAGTGCTTCAAACATTGCGAGTCAATTTTTTTTTTGCAATGATCTGTATACCTGTGTCCTTTTCATTTTTCAAAGTTTTTTTGGTAAACAGTTCTGTAAACTGCCCCTACATACAGTTCTATGATTATATCTTACCAGGTTAGCGTCTTTTCTTAAATGAGCTAATGAAGGGAAAAATTTACATTTGTTTGTGTTGAATCGTACATGCTTTTTTTATTACCGGTGCGATTTGTTGCTGATAAAGATATATTAGAACACATTTGTTATCATTTTGCTGGTACTCAAATGATGGAGTTGTTGACACCATCAGTAGAAGAAACATTTGTGATACAAAACCAACAAGTAAGATCACTTGGAAGCAAATTCTAGCCTTATGATTTCTAAATTAAATGGTTAATCTTTTATCTTTTTTCCCTTTCTTCTATTGCAGGTGGCACTAGATTACATTGGGAAAAAAGGTCCCACTGTTGGTGTCATGAAAGAGAATTGAATAAAGTACGTAGGTGACACTATCTTTTTTTCCTTTCTTCTGATGGAAAGTTGCTGCTTAAATTGTGATTATTTTGAAATCTGTTTTTTTTAGTATTTTGGTCAGAAAAATTGATTTATGTGTTCTTGATTACAGGGTATTTGGGAATTCTGTGTTTATCTTTTCTATTGGTTTTACTTGGTGCTGTTGGGATTTAATTTGATGTTGCATATGCGCTGAATGTTGGATTCAGTTCAGGCTTGCGATCTCAGTCAACCAAAATCGTTATCAAAGAGACCAGGGACATTTCGGTAAGTTTTGGGATTTTACTATTAAAATTGACTTTTTTGGTAAATTTTATAATCGTTTTTTCTGTTCCAGTCTTGCTTCATTTGGAAGTACTCGAAGATCTGAATTGAGAATATGATAGATGAATTTTTGTTGAATCCTAAGACTGAAACGTATATTTTCAAAAACATAAAGAGATAATTTCTCAATTTATAGTTTGGCTTCAAATATTGGTATTTATATATAGGTAAGTTTTGGATTGGAAATTCTAGATTTTATTTGACGTGTTTCAAGATATATTTTCAGATCATTCGTATGTGAACTATACTTTTATGTCTCAACTGAAAAGTTACATGGAGATTTCATCATATCTACCACGGCGAGCATTTTCTTTATGGCTTTAGTAAGGTTAATATTTACTTTTTGTTGTAGAGATGTACTTTTGTTGAAATTTTGGATGCAGGTTTCTCACTTATTTATATAGCCAGTTCAGAGAAGGTGTCAGAGAAGGTCTTTGGGTAAGTTTCCAGCCTTGTATACATGTGTATAAATAGGTACATGTTGTTAAGTGCCAATTTATACTCAAGATTTTAGTGTTTTTGAAGCTGAAACATCTCAAATTTGGATGTCGATTTCCCACTGCAAAAGAAGAATGTATTACCTATTCTTTGGATGTTTCTTTTGAACAGTTAATACTTAGATCTGGGTATTTGTAAATATACTATAATATTATTTTTTTTTCCTTTTCATTCCTGCTTTCACATATATTGATTGTTTGCTTACATGGTTTTCAGGTCATGCAACATAGGCATTGTGTTATCCAAATATGGAGTATGTATTTTGTTTTTTACTCATAATAGTGAAAATTCCCTCATCTAAATGCACATGGGTAATGTTAATGACTGTTTTGGGGACATAATGAACACCATAA